AAATATTTAAACAAATAATTTCAAATTATTTAAATATAAAATTAAATCATATTTTCAAGTATTTATTTTTATTTTATTTCATTTTTATTTTATTTTTTAATATTAAAACTAATTTATTTTAGTATTACTCGCAATAATGCTCGAAATAACGATATTTTCCTTTAACAATTTACAAATACTATAAATAATCGGCATTATAACCCTTTTACAAACAATATAAGGTATATAGCACATATTATTAATTTAATTGTACAAAATATACTAAAAAACTTTATTTCAAATAAAAATGTATTTAATTTTATTACAAAATACATTAATATTTAGCTTTCTTTATTAAAACTTAAAATTAAAATAAACGATAAAAACGAAATTTAAAAAGGTTAGTTTATTTTATTAATTTTATATTAATTATTAATTATTTTTAAATTTAATTAATCGAATTTGCCAAATTGCTACTTTAACGAAATATACGCATAATATTTAAAAATTATTAAAAAAAAGTATAAATAACGCAAAAAGAGATGGAATTTTAAATAATAATTATAAAAAAAACGTTATTTCTATTAATATTTAATTAATTTATTTTTTAATTTTTATTTTTTTATTTTTTTATTTTTTTACTAATTAATTTATAGATTTACCAACACGTTAAAATTCGACTTATAATATAATAAAGGTTTTTTTAAAATTAAAAAATTCTTTATTATATATTAATCGAAATATTAACTATTTAAAATTTAAAAAGCTATTTTTAAATAATATTGATTGGTATACTTTAAAAAAATTACAGCAAATTTTCGAAATTTTTATTAAACCAACTATTTATTTACAAGCTGAAATTTACATAACAATGTCTCGAGGCTTATTATTTATATACCAAATTTGAAATAAATTGCGAAATTTATTACGCAATTATAATTAACAACTACAAAATAACCTAAAAATTATAAGTTATTTTTTATTTTAAATTTTTATTATTTTATAATTAATTATTAATTTTATATAGGCACCTATTTTAAATGGCTTTATTGCAGCAATATTACGTAGTGCTAAAAAGCTAAATAAATACTTTTCACGAAATTTAACAAATAAACTATTAAATACTAGTTATTTTAATTCGTATTTATTTAGTATTATATTAGATCCTACACAAAAAACTAGCCATTTTCAAGAAAATGGTTTATTATATTATTATGAAAATATAAAAAATGATGTAATTTAATTATTTAAAGTTAAATTTAAAAAGTATGTTATATTTTTATATTTTTTATATTTTAATATTTTTTATATTAATGTTTAATAGGGTTAAAAGACAATTAAATAAAAACGACTTTTTTAATATGTCATTTAATGAATTAAATAACGATAATATATTTAAAATATCGTTAAAAAATAATTTATTAAATGATGATATTTATTTAAGCATTGAATTTAATTTAAATGAAGAATTAAATAATTATTTAAATGAAGAAAAATACTTTAAAGAAGTAAGTTTAATTTTTTTTATTTTATATTAATATAAAACTAATTACTATAATAAACCGATATTTTATTATAGTAAAAATTTAATTTAAATAAATTTCTTATTTTAGCTATTATGGCTAAACGTTATTTAGCAATACCGGCAACAACAGCTTTTATAAAGCGTATATTTTTAATTTTTAGTAATATAATTACTAAAAATCAAAATAAATTACAGCTAAAAACTGTAAAATGGTTAACGTTATTAAAAAGTTGGAAATTTAATAATATAAAAGAATTACAATAGCAATATACTAATAATATGGAGGTTTTAGAAGAAGAAGAAAATTAAATAGGTTAATAAATAGATTTTATTTAAAGAATAAAAAGCTTTTTAAAACTTTAAATATAATATAAATTAAATATAAGATTTATTATAATTTTTATTACAAAAACTAAAATTTTATTAATTAAATTGAAAGAATTATAATGTTAATAAGTTTAAACATTTTTTTAAGCTTAATTGTAATTTTTAATAAACTTTAAATTAAAAAATTAAATAACTTTTTATATATTAAAAATAAAATTATATTTTTTAAAGATTTAATTATATAAAATCGTAATGTAATTTTATATATAATTTCTTTTTTTAAATAGCTTAAATTACATGTATAAAAACTCTTTATACGCTACTTTTTTTAATATGTAATATAAAAATACTAATAAAAATTATGTTTATTAAAAAAGTGGGTTATTTTTGTTAGTTTTTAGTTTTTTTGTAGTTACTAACTTAAATTAGTGTAGTTAGTTTTAGTTAAGCTACTAACTAACTATAGTAGTTTTAGTTAAGCTATTAACTAACTTATGTAGTTTTTAATTATTATACTAATTAATTTATGTAGTTTTAGTTAGGCTATTAACTAACTTTAGTTAGTGGGGCTAGTTAATTTAGTAACTAATTAGTAACTAAATCACAACCTTGATGCTAAGTTTTACGTTTTAAGCAAACTTTAAATTTTTATATTATGTATTAAGTATACTAACATTTTATAATATAGTTAAAGTTTTATTTTTAGCTGCATTAATATATATAGCAATTAACTGCTTTAAAATAATTAAAGCGTTAATAATAATTTATAAAGTTGCTATAGCTTATTTATTTAGCTAAAAGCCAATATAAAGTTTAGTAGCTAAACGTAAGCTTTTTAAAAGTAAAAATTATAAACAGTTTTTACTTTTTATATAAGTAGAAAATATTTTATATTTTTTAAGTTTATTAACGCGTTAAGTATATGTTAAGGTAAGAAGTTTAAAAAGGTTAAGAAAGAGGTAGTTAAGGCAATTAAGGTTAGCGCTTTTTTTTTTAGTTTATTAGTTTGCTTTTTCGTTTTTAAAAATATTTTTATGTTTAAGGAACTATTAAATGGTGTAAACAAAAAAGCAAATACGGTTAATTGTTTTCGTAAAAGCAACGAAGTTAGCTTAAAAGTTATTAGAAAGGTAGCTAAAAAGTCCTTAAATTACCGCTGTGTTGTTTAGGCATAAGTGGAGGCTAGTAGGAGTAGAGACAATGTTGTGCCACTTTATTTCTGCCTATAAAATTAAAGTAAAAAAAATAACTTTTTTTTACATTTAAAAAGCGCTAAATAATGCAAATAAAAAACTATAAACTTATACATGGCGCAGTGGTTAAGCGCCTGGCAGACATTAGTGTGGAATACTAATGTAATGGGTTCGAATCCCATTGTGGTCCAACTAACCATCCCTTTTTCCAGGGCACACACACTTTTTATTGGCTGTTTATAGCCAATAAAAGCATTATTGGCGAAACTTTTCGCCGAGCACCCACATTATTGCCGGCTAATTGCCGGCATACACACTTCCCCCGCCAACATCCCAGAGTAGCACTGCAAATGGACCAAAAAGCATTAGCCAAATGGAAATGCCAGCGACCGAAACATCCACTGCCGATAGCCCCACTAACAGGGTAACTGTCGCCAACAACCAACCCCACCATCGCTGACACCCCCCTCCCCACAGGGTAGCCTCCTATAAGGTGGCTTCCTACAGGGTGCTGTCGCCGACCCACACACCCCCCCATCGCCAACACCTCCCTATCCAATAGGGTAGCTGTCGTCGACCCACATACCCCCCATCGCCAACACCTCCCTCCAATAGGGTAGCTGTTGCCGACCCACACACCCATCGCCAACCCCACCATCGCTGACACCCCCCACAGGGTAGCCCCCTATAGGGTGGCTTCCTACAGGGTGCTGTTACCGACCAACCAACCCCCGGCAAGGCCTTGGAGAAGGCTAGCCAACGGTAAGGCGCATTAGCGCGGAGGATTTCCTATGTAAATTTTCAACACGCTGGTACGGAGGCATAAGCCCCTTACTCCAGCCGTCCCATAGTCTATACAGGCTCAGGGTGTAACTAGATACCATAGTAAATAGTTCAGCTATAAGCTCCCGCACTGAACGTTAAATATATCATCATCATCATCATCATCATCATATTGCTAACAACTAACCTTACTATTATTAACATTTTAATAAGGTATTTATTGTGATGATAATAATAATAATAATATATTTAACGTTTAGTGCAAGAGCTTATAGCTAAACTATTTATTATAGCATTTAATTATACTTTAAGCTTATATAAACTATAGAACAGTTAAAATAAAAAGCTTATATTTTTATACTTACATGTTAAAAATTTACATAAAAAATCTTTTACGCTAATAGCACTTTACCGTTAATTAGCTTTTTTTAAAGCTTTGCTAATAGGTTAGTCGATAATAGCTACTTTATAAGGAGTTACTTTGTAAGGGGTGTTAGCGATGGTAAGGTTAGCAATAAGTATATAAGTCGGCAATAGCTACCTTATTAAAAGGAAGTATTAGCAATAAAAAGTATATAAGTCGACGACAGCTACCTTATTAAATAAAGAAATATTAGCAATAAAAAGTATATAAGTTAACAATAGCTACTTTATTAAATAAAAAAATATTAGCAATAAAAAAGTATATAAGTTAATAACAGTACTTTATAAAAAGCTACTTTATAAAAAGCTACTTTATAAAAAAAGAAATATTAACAATAATAAAGTTATTAACAACAGTTACTTTATTAATAAAATTATTAGCAATAAATATTTTAGTTGTTAGCATTTTTATTTAGCTAATACTTTTAGTTTATTTATAATATTACTTTAAAATATTAGCAAAAAAAATATATATATTAGCAATTAACTAGCAATAATATAAGTATTTAGCAAAAAGTTTCGCTAATAATGCTTTTATTAGCTATAAATAGCTAATAAAAAGTATATATACTTTAAAAAAAAATAATTAGTTAAATCACAATAAAATTCAAACCCATTACATTAATATTCTACACTAATGTCTACTAGGCGCTTAACTACTGCGCCATGTGGCCAAGGTATTTGTTACTAACAACCTTACTATTGCTAATATTTCCTTTTTTACAAAATAGCTTTTTATAAGGTAGCTTCTTATAAAGTACTGTTATTAACTAACTTTATTTATTAATATTTATTACTAACAACCTTATTAGCAAAGCTTTAAAAAAAGCTAGCTACAGTAAGGCGCATTAGCGCGAAAAATTTTCTATGTAAATTTTCAACACGTAAGTACAAAGGCATAAGCTTCTTACTTTAACTGTTCCATAGTTTATATAGGCTTAAGGTTATAAATAGCTAGTTAGTTAGTTAGTTTATTGCCTGCTCCGGACGTAAAATATATCATTATTATTATTATCATTATAAAAATATAAACTCCTTACTTTAACTGTTTTATAGTTTATATAGGCTTAAGGTTATAAATAGCTAGTTAGTTAATTAATTTCATTGCTTATTTTAAACGTAAAATATATTATTATTATTATTATTATTATTATTATTATTATTATTATTATTATTATTAATAAAATAAAAAAAATAATAAAAAGTTAAAAATAATAACTTTTATAAAGCTATAAAATAATAATAAAAAATAATACTTTTATTTTATAATAATTAATTTTTAAATAAATAAAAAACATAAAATTATAAAAAAAGTTTTAAAATTATTTATTATTTACTAAATAATAGCTTATTAAAGCATAAAATACTACTTAAAAATAAAAAAAACTCTTTAATATATTTTTTAAAAACAATATATTAAAATAAAATTATATAATAACAAGTTAATAAAACTAGTTTATAGCAACTATTAATTAAAAAATAATAAGCTTTTAAAGCAAAAAATTAGCTTTAATAAATATAAATATACTTGCACAAATAAATATACCTATAGCTCGCCACGTTTTATACCCTTAAAAAGGTTGCTAAAAAGAGGCACACGCCACTTTAGCCTAGACGTTAAACAATAAAACAAACAAACAAACAAGTTTCACCTGCACCAACAGTCGAGGCTCTTCAGCGACCTGAAGCAGGCCAGAGCCTTAGCCCTACGCCCACGTACCAACATTCTGACCGACCTATGGGTGTCTGGACTAACTTGTTCACAATGCCTTCCAAGACCATTAAGAATACTAGTAAGAACAAACGCGCCTGGGGTGAGTCAGCTTCCTGCTAATTGGTGAACTTATTGCTAAGCTTTCGGTGGTAGTATGGCTAGCTCCATGGTCGACGTGGTCTTTTACGGTCCGTCTAATGCTCATGTTAGACGAGAAGCTACATCCTGAAAACCCTTCAACCCACCCCGGATTAATAGACCCAGACGTATACACCTTGACCTGGGAGACTTCGTCATCCGCTGAGTTTCCCGATCTTAGCACTCTACCTTCGTTTAACCACGCTATATATCTCTTTAATACTGTCAAGTTTCATCTTGGGCAGACCTATCGCTTGTTTGACGAAGCTGAATTCGAGGATCAGATAAGAAACTTTTATACTAATGCATCCCCAAGGATAGATGAATGCCGCCTCTGGTTTGTCAAATTCCTCCTGATCCTTGCGTTTGGGACAGCCTTCCAGGCACCTCCAACAGATACCCAGGAACCTCCTGGTGCAAAAATTTTCAAGCAGGCGATGGCTCTAGTTCCTGATACCACCTCCCTCTGGAAAGACAGTTTGCTAGCAATCGAGGTCTTAGCTTTCATTGGGCTGTACTTGTTTTCAATATACGAGAGAGAATCGGCACATATCTATGTAAGAACCCATATACCGGCCAAATTTATCACTACTGATTCTCCCCACAAGCTTGGCCAACCCATACGCATTGTCCAACTGGAGGGTTTACACACACAACTTCCAGAGAAAGAACTCGGGACGGAAACAACCACCCATTGTCGTGACCTGTGGTGGACACTATATATCATGGACAGACATTTTTCATCGGCCCTCGGACTGCCTATGTCGGTGCAGGACAGTGACATCACAACACCGGTCAATCCACCAAATGTGGGTTCGGGAGGCGATAGCTCTCGTAGTCTCCAAGTGAACCTCTCACATCTGTTGTCGATTATCTTGACCAGTAAGTCCAACTTTGTTGTCTCAGATAAGTGCTTCGTCTAAAATCTAGAAACAGCCATTTATAAGCCAAATGTAACCCCATTGGAAACATTTCTCGAGCAGACGCGGTCCATATTACATACTTTAGCCCACCATGCCCAGGAGATAGAGAAGATTATGCGTCTTAAACTTCAGAACTGCATAGGAAGTCTGCCACGAGGCATATGTTATTTGACATTACTGTATCACCAAGTGAGTCCAGCACTAGACTTCTTTACCTTTGTATTCTGGACCATGGTCAAAAACCTTACCTTTTTATTCACTCTAGTGTGTAATAGTCGCAACACGCCCCCTTCTACTATCAGTTTTGAAGGAAAGGCTAGATATGTTAGGATACCCAGGTGATGAAAACTGGAAGAGTTTCTTGGCTCAGACAGGATCAGTCATCTCGACCGGCATCAAGTCAGCTGCCAAGACACTTCAAATCTTGACTAGTGAATATAGTCTTCTAGGTGGTATCCGAATTCTACCACCCCCTCATGACAATCGCAGTGCTAAATAGTGCTTCAGAAGCATTTTTACCATACGATATTGAGTTCGCTTTCGGAGCCGCTCGTAAGTAATCTGGGAATACCCCTTTTTTTTCTTGCCCTATCTTTATACCATTTGAAAGAAATATGGGAGAAGACATTTTAGCTCACAGGAATAAACGCCTGCTTAGTTTTTGCTCGGGAGGCTAATGACTAATCTATATTGCTACTTATAGTCGTGAGTAATTTTGGGAGTCATCTATCCGCCCCCCTTTTGGCCTGTCTCGGCTCGGCCCGAATGTCAAATTTTCCAACTATAGCCAAGCGTATGCGCTTGTGGGAGGTTAAATTCCCGAGACAAGGTCTCAAGAGCAAGAGGTTACCTAGCATGACAGTTACTGACTCTCTTTATTACAGCACGTCACTATGGTCAATGCTCTTTTCCCAGGTGAAGTTGACTATCAAGGATGCCGCCAGTTAGCACACCAAGTCCTAAGAAACTTGATTACCCGAGGGAATAGAGTAGCTAGAGCTAGGATATCGGAATTGCGTCACTTAGAAAAACTATTCCAGGAGCTCATCGCCCGGGTCCAGCAGCAAGGCCACCAAACACTAAACCCATTCCCCACAGAAGGGTCAGAGGTTGAAGCAAACGAGGGACATGATAGGTTACTATCATCGGATAACGAGCCGAGTACCCTAGCAATGATCACAGATTCAGAGTATCACTCACACTGCTCGC